CTTATTGTCATGCTTATACACTTTCAGGCACCGAAGAGGAAACATCCTTTGTTTCTATTGTCTGGAATTGCGACTAATGCTTTTACATACGATCTTTCCCCTGAGGTGATTTGATTGATTTTAAACGAATGATTTTGATTATTGTGTAAGTTTAGACTACTTGTAATTTTGATTTTGTTAGTGTATGTTGAAAATGGATTCTTGTAACACAAGTATGTATATGGAAAGCTAAAACACTATTAATTTGTTTGTTTGTTTCTGTGGATATTCATGTATGCAGTTTTCCTTTGCAAGATTCATGTCTGGTTTAGGATTTGATACATGGATTCTTGAGCTCCGTGGAGCCGGATTGAGTTCTCTGAATGTCGATAAAGATCTTGGTAAATGCATGATAAATTTTCTTATGTGTGTATATGTTAATTTACTTTCTGATGGTGAATTGTGGTTGTTGATGAAAAGAGAATCCGAGAAGGACAGGATCTAGCAACGATAAGCAGCGGATAGTCTCGGATCTGTTGGAGAATCTCATAAACGTATCTGAGAGGCTTGAAAATGTTCTTGATGGAGGTTGGTTCATTACCTCGCTCTCTATTTTGTTATTGTTCTCTGTTGAGACCGCAAAAGAGAATCTTTGTCTGAATATTGAGAAAGAACCCGCAGGTTTCAAGGTCCTCGGGCTGAAAGACCGACTATCTACAAGAGTGGAAGATTTTAAGCAGCGGCTTGAACTTATCCCTCATTACAATTGGGATTTCGATAACTATCTAGAAGAAGATATTCCTTCTGCGGTGAGGTGACACCTCTTGTTTATTCTTTTGTATGGAGGAGTCCTGCTCGCTCGCGTGCTATACCCAGTTATGGTCTAATTATATAATGTTGGTCTCAGATGGAGTATGTGAGGACTCAAACCAAGCCAAAAGATGGGAAGTTGTTAGCGATTGGTCACTCCATGGGTGGTATCTTGTTATATGCCTTGCTCTCAAAATGTGGTAAGCTTTCTCATACATCACTTAGTCTGATATTCTCTTGCATTTGTTGTAAATGTAATTCTTAGTCAGATTTTGGCTCAATCACCTTTTAGGCTTAGAAGGAATAGATTCAGGGTTGGCTTCTGTCACGACTCTCGCAGCAACATTGGACTACTCATCCTCAAGAACCCTCCTCAAGTACCTATTACCCGTGGCAAGTACTTATGAACCAATAACTGCACTGTTACATTTTCTAAAGGGGGGAAAATATGACTGAGAAAGTGATTTTAAATTTCATTTTTGTTACAGAAAGATCCCGCGCAAGCTATTAACTTAGGTGCCCTACCGATTGATACAATGCTTGAGATGATTCACCCTCTAATGTGTCGTCCTCCATATGCTTTGTCCTGGTTAACCACTAACATATCTGCTCCTCAAATGATGGAACCTGAAGTGATTGAGAAGCTTGTTTTGAACACCTTATGTAAGCTCAATTACTTGACATTTTTTTTTCACTTCTCAACAAATCTCATACTGGCATATTCCTGATAACGATAGCGTTCATCTGGGGGAAAAAAAAAACAGGCACTGTACCAGTTAAGCTTCTCTTGCAGCTATCAACAGCCGTGGACAACGGTGGGCTGCGTGACAGAACCGGTAATTTCTGTTACAAAGATCATATCAGCAAAACCAATGTCCCTATCTTAGCTCTTGCAGGGGACTGGGACATAATCTGCCCTCCTGATGCAGTATACGGTAGTTACTCTCCAACGTTTCACCGTAAATCCAAGGTTCCTTTTATCCTTTGATCGATGTAATCGTTAACCGGTGTTGATCTGATGAGCAGATACAGTGAAGCTGATTCCAGAACATCTAGCTACTTTCAAAGTTGTAGGATCACCCGGAGGTCCACATTATGGCCATCAGGATCTGATTTCTGGTCGAACAGTATGTATGATCAATTCCACTACATTCATTATCAAGGTTTTGTGTTTTGATTATATTCATCGCCCCTTTCGATCTCATTACAGGCCAAACCCGAAGTATATCCATTGATTGTTCGATTTCTTCAGGAACATGATGAGAGTTAAATTCATCGAGGTTTCAAATGGATTTGATTCCTGTTTCGGT